ATGTATCCTTTGTTGGCAACATTTAACACTTAGTTTCTGAAGTCCAAAAATGTAAATTCTCTTATTGCATTAATGAATTTCCCAAAATCAGTTTTTTGTTAACCGACATCATAATCAGTCTATTTCTACGGTTTGGAAACCCATTGGTATACTCCTGGAGAACTAAAACGTTTATATGCTTGCGCATACGAAACACAAACACTGTTTACGGGGAATGTCAAAAACGCCATGCACAAGGTGCATTTCTGGCTGACGGAAGAGCAGGATCCATTGCTTCTTTCAATCAACTCTTCTACTTGATTCACGTGTTTCTGAGTGGGATGAGGCTACACCTCACTATTCAAGGTACTCTCGGACAGAACTTGGCCAGCTATGGGGACCACACCCATTCTAAATGATTACCAAAACGTCACAGTGCCATACCTTCCCGGTGATAAACGTAGATGGTATACTGTGGTATGTCAAGATTGTATTTCGCTGCTCCTGTTTCGTTTGTTTTTCCGCGAGCTCGCCCATCCGTGAAGGTTTTTGTATATACCACGCCCAGATTAAAGCGACAAGCTGGGCGATGGGAGCCTTTACTGAGTTCTGTTGCCACAACCGACGAAAAGCTCAAATAACTCCAGTTTACAGCAAGTGGCTTGGTAAATTGAGCCATTTAGCATGTCGAAGGGTTAAACGCTTTCTAACAGTGTTATTGTAGATGGCTGAGGTTGTTAAGAGGGAGCGTGGCTTTGCGGAGACTTAACGTTGTGGGGTTCTTCTTCTACTTAAGTATGGTTGGTGTTAGCTGTTCAGAAAAGAAAAAAGTACAAAGTACGTATGGTGTAGGGTTTGAGAAATACCGATAAGTATCTTCACAAGGAATGGTTATTACTGGGAAAATGCATTGGTTCTTACAAGTAGTTTGCAGGATAAGCATTTTCTGACAAGATTCAATTCAATTTACTTTCAGTAAAGTACAGTAAAGATTTACTCATGGGCTGCTAGTGATACAAAATGGAGGCGTGTTGGCGTGAAGACGAGGTCGTACATTCAATGAATGAGACTGGCATTTAGGTAGGTAGACATATAGGAGCTTTAGAGCGTGGACTTCAATAATTGGTGAATATCTAATAGGGATCATTAAATTATATGAGATCACCAATTATTCAGTGTCCCGTGTTGTATGTTAGTTTGCATTGACGTTGAAGTGAAACGAACCGACATAGTATATCATAACTTCTGAACGACCTGTTAACATCTGTATTTCTTTACCGTTCAGAACATCCATGTCTACCTTTACACAGCTATTGATAGTACACCTTCATCCATATCTACCTGTACACTTTCATCTACCTATATTCCATATATATTTACCTTTACTCCTTTATCTACCTGTATTCCATTTGTATTCACCTGTACACCATCCATATTTACCTGCACACCTTCATTTACCTGTATTCCATTATATTTACCTGTGCACCTTCATCCATGTCTACCTGCACACCTTCATTTACCTGTATTCCATTTATATTTACCTGTGCACCTTTATCCATATCTACCTGTGCGCATTTATTCATATTATCCTGTACACCTATACGCCTACATGTAAACCTCTATCTGTATCCATCTGTACACGTTCACCCAGATCTACGTGTACATCTGCATTCGTGTTTCCTTGTACACATTCATCCGTATCCAACGCTACCTGTACAACTACACCCATGTACATCTGTGCACCTTCATCCATATCGTTATGTACACCACCATCCCTATCTACCTGTGCACACCGCAATCTACCTATCCGCCTTCATCGATATTTACCTGCACATCGCCATCCAAATGTACACGTTTATTCATATACCTTTCCCAGATATAGATTGTTCGACGACAGATTATATAGCACAATCTCTTTAACATTCTAATGTTACGTGTTGATTACCAAGTTAAGTCAAGTTAACCTTTATGGATAACAACTTCTTTTATTTCGTGACTGCGACGGTCAGATACAGATTCCTGTACCATTTTCAAGGAGAGATTTAATGAAATGTGATATAATTAACAGCTGTATTCTACAAGTATGAGTTCACACATGAATACAAAACACTACAAAGGAATTGCAGGAGTGGTACAAAATGAAGCGGATTACAAATCCAGTGCCAATACAAATACAATGGCAATATAATATACAGTCAGTCATCGTAACAGGTAAAGCCAGTGATAATAGTATTCCCCTCCCTGCAGTAGTGGTCTACCTTCAAACACAGGCCGAGGCTGAGTACCCAGGGTGAAATTGATCTTCACGGAAGTGTAGGTCTAAGTTTAGTCTGTCTCACAGTCCCGGAACCATATTATTTTCCCTACAACCTGACCTTCCCTGCAATGCTAAAGCCCTAAATGAAGAAAGTCTAGAGTTCCCCAGGTTCTGAATCTCTGGTCTCCCGGTAGCTCCTTTTCAATTTAAATGGGTTTATTTGTTACAATCCAAATTATATATATTCAGAGACTAAGCGTTAGTTTAGTCTTACTTATACTTTGAGATACCTGATCTAAAACTGCGTCCCTTATATATGATGCTACTGTTCTGGACCTTTCCCTGATATTCTAGCTTAGACTATGTTGGATACTTCCATGGGGTTGTAGTATCTGGTAGCACCTTCCAGAACACAAAGTGTAAATGTAGGACGAGTCTACTGAATACAGTAGGCCATTGCCACTGCATGTCAACAGACAAAATGGTATACAATGTTCCCGATGGTAAACATACCACACAACACTAAATATCCTCAGTGTCTCCATACGCTATCTAACATTGGACTTCTAGTAGTCTATAGTACTGCAACATACAAAAGGAATTCAGTGGGCTATCATTTACCACATAGAGAAGTATGTCAGTCTCGCTTACAATTGTTCAAACAACTAATTGTTTTTTCCTCTTTTCCTGCGCACAGTGGATTTATTGTTATGTATACACAGCACTGTTTATTCTACTCGTACTATTTGAATAATTGTGCATCCTACTTCAGTGACAGAACCATCCCAAATATTTGTATTGTGCATGTACCCGACCAACCGGGACTTCACACTTTACCAACACAGAACCGTGACTTCACACTTTACGATCACAGGCCCAACCAGGAAGAGACGGTACACGTCTCTAACAGATGACGAGGGCCCTTGCACACTTCGTATCTCCACTCCAGTCTCAGCAGGATAATACTATGGTGTTCAATCAGGAACGACTAACGACGTTGGCAGCGACGATGACGACGATGACGACGAGCTATGTGCGACGATGATGTTCATATTGAGAATACACATGTGTACACTCTTACTGAAGGTATGTTTGTCTATATTTCACACAGCTCTTGCATGAATCGTTTATGTGTAAAGGAATAGCTGTCGTCTCATTGGGCAAGTTGAAGCCATCTGCATGTGTAGTGGTTAAAGCGTCTGAGGTCAGGCGAACATTCCGTTTCGAATTTAATATTATGTCAAGTATGTGAAGACATTCTTTGTAACCCCCCGCACACACATTAGTCAGCGTGTATGTGTGTATGTATGTGAGTGGTGAGTGAGTGAGTGTGTGTGAGTGAGTCAGTGTGAATGAGTGAGTGAGTGTGTGAGTGAATGAGTGAATGAGTGAGTGAGTGTGGCCAGGGCCTAGATTTTCGCTAAGAGTGAATGAATGAGTCTAGGCCCTGATGAGTGTGTTAGGCACATAGCAGAACAGCCACCTCTAGTGGCCAGGGCCTATTTCGATTTTCGCTAAGATAAATTATAAAATAAAACATCAGTCGTAAGTTTTGAATTACGGAAGCTCAAATGTCCTTGACAACGATAAGGTCAGTGTGCAAATAAGAGAAGTTCCCTTGGTATTAGAACATGTGAGTTTCCTCTGTGAGTGGCATTTAGAAGTTGGTGTCATCAACAAGGGAGATACAACATCTTTATTACGATATACGCGACGTTCCGGTAAAGATGCTAAGGGCAGCAGTTTTATGTTTGTGTTTCTCATCGCCCGACCGACCCTTCTAATTTTATTGCCAACCCAACCTAAAAACGTTTTTTTTTCATTCCACCACCGCCGACTCGAACCTAAACGGTACCGCCTCGTCATATAAAATGTTATAAAAAATAATATCTTTTAATCAGACGTAGCCACAAGTCAAGAGAACGCGAGAAATTGTAATTAGAATTACAATAAATGAGAATCAAGAACATTATGCAGATAATTTTGTCTTTATTGAATTGTTTTATTATTTTTTTCCCGACCGACCGACCCATGTTCAGAATTTGGTGGCTACGTGAAACACACACACACACGCACGCACACACACAATGATGCCCTAACACTGTTATCAAGGAAGTGGATTTGCCTATCAATATCGACATGCGGGAGTGCGCGCGCTGCTACTTTCTCGTCTTTGTGTTACTATACTTTCTACCCGTGAAGGTCCGGGTTAGAATGAACCTTCAGTAACCCATGCTTGTCGTAAGAGGCGACTAACGTGATCGGGTGGTCAGGCTTGCTTGCTTGGTTGACACGTGTCATCGTATCCCAATTGCGTAGATCGATGCTCATGCTGTCGCTCACTGGATTGTCTGGTCCAGACTCGGTTATTTACAGACCGCCGCCATATAGCTGGAATACTGCTGAGTTAGGCGTAAAACTAAACTCACTCACTACTATATTTTCTAATTTTTAAAACTGATTATAATGGTACAAAATAACTGAATAAATAAATAAATCCTTTATCGACAGAATTTTCATTGTCAAATAAGTCTGAACGCATTTAAAAATATGTACCTTTAACAAATATCCACGCTTTTCCTGAAAGTACTTTGTTTGGCGAGTAGCTATAACCAGACTTCGAGACGAGCTATCTTCAATCGCCCCAGTGTATTTGTTAGCCACATAAACCACACACACGCTGCCAAGCTGGGTGACAAGAGTTCTCGCCCTTGACACGTGCTACCCAAATAAGCTCTCACTGTGTAGATTTCACAAACACAATGACGTCACGGCAATGCGTGCACTCGCACAATTCAGATGGGGAACCCTTTTCGCTTGTGTGGTAAATAACAGTGAATATCTCGCGATCAGGGCCACGGATTTTCACGAAATTTTACAGTTAGCTCGGGAATAGTTGTCCAACCCCACCGAGTTACTTTCCTGATGATGCTGATGCCCTGGGGGGCCAGGCGAAGCGACCACACCCAGCAGAGCACGGAACTCTACATTTGCGCTGACCCATATTCAACCGGCTACGAATGTGGACTAGCAAAAGGCGCTTGAATAGGCCTTTTCACCAATGATCGCTTGTATTGGCACGGGAATAACGGATGTACAGCGAGGATAAGACAGGTTGCGGCACGAGAAGTGTGTATGAGACATCCAGTCATTTCTCCTTCTCTCTATCGGATAGACAGAGGACGGGAGCCTGATGTCTCGACTGTCCATCGTCTCTGACGAACAGCGACACCGGCCGAAAACGAAGGATATATTTTTTGAAACCAGTCGACATGAGAAAACATAGAACCAATTCAAGATGTAAATCCGTGTCGACTTTCTGTCTTTTCATGCCATCCTGTGAGTATAATGTGTTCAAATGTCTGGAGAACAGGCATCAGTCGTACTGGGATAGTGCTGTATGTGATTCTCATCGTCTCGTGGGTACTGGTGATCAGCGCAGGGGTGGGAGCCCTACCCCTCTCTGACTTTTACCCCTTCAATACCAGTGCCGGGGACAGACTGACAGATGACAGTGATGATGGGGGGTCAGGATCTATCAAAATCGGAGTCCCCTTCCCTTTCTTCAATCGTAGTCACGATAAGATTTTTGTAAGTATAAACTTATGTTTATAACTTTTTGCCATGTTTTGATTTTTCAGACCATGTTTGTATTCGACAAATGTATCTGTAAACACAAGTATGTGATCATGGCGTCTATTGTATTTTATGCCGCAACGTTTTCTTCCTGTAATCAATGTTTGTTTATTAAACCAAAGTGAAGAATTTCACCGTAAATCTTAATCTAATGTACCGTACATTTATTTGTTAAATAATCTTCACTGTGGACATTCGAATGGAGCATATACGTCAGGTATCAGGTACATATTTTTTATATTCATGTTGCTGATAATGGGTCTGACTAAAACGAAGAAACATTTCGTGCACGCCAAGTTCACTGTCAGACAAAATGCAGCATAAAGTGGACTATTCATTATATGTTGATTTTGTACAAAAAAAGTGAAAAACAATTCTGCATAACAATCTGATAAAATATGTTGCTGATACTTTAAATTTCCGATACGTCAGCATACTTATAATAAGCTTTATATTGTTATGAGTGATAGTTTATGAAAAACGTATTTGTTTGTATATCTTTTATAATGGGAATAGTTGTTACTACTGTTTCATTCATATATGACAATATACCGTTATATCGTCTCTCATATATCTCATAAAGGAGTATACTCCTGAGATGAAACATTGTCAGCCTTTTGAGAGTAATTCCGTAGAACTTGATACACTTGTATTACGTTTGTTAATTCATTTCAAATAACAACGACATTTTATCATAATAAACATAATATACAAGCAGATAAGCTAAAGTGATCAATAAAATATATAATCAAATTGTTCATATCTTTACAATGAACGTAAACAAACGTGACATCCAAACCTAATATTAAATAGCATGGGCTGATTTAACACTTGTATGATTACTCCCTTTGAGCTATAAGAGCAGATCGATAAGAGATCAATAGGTTTTAACTTTGACAGTCTCCACCCTTCATTCATAGCTATTCCGGTGTCCCAGTGATGCTCCGGGCGACGGACAGCTTCTACATGTGAATGATCAGTACACGCCCACTCAGCTTTAAATAGTTGGCTCCGCGATCTTAACATGATATTAACATGGGATTAACATGAGATTAACAGCGGCAATGGAAGCTTTAGAAGTGGACGTAGATCAATTGATATCGGTTACGGACTTCAGATTTGTATATTTTTCTCAGAGATATATGTTATACATGTAAAAAAAGTTCATGTTCCCCACAAAATATGAAACGTGTGAGTGAATACGTCCACGTACCAAATGTAATATGGTACATATGTGCAATTAAGTCCAAATACCAGGCAAAATAGGATACATATGATGTTATTAGTCCATATACAACCATATGTATCATACACATCGGTCAATAAACCCATATACCACACAAAACATTGTATTTATAATCTTATTGGTCCCTATACCACAAAAAATATTGTATGTCTGATCTAATACATCCATATACCACACAAGATATTGTATATATAATCTAATAGGTCCATATACCACACAAGATATTGTATATGTAATCTAGTAGGTCCATATACCACACAAGATATTGTATATATAATCTAGTAGGTCCATATATCACACAAGATATTGTATATATAATCTAGTAGGTCCCAATACCACATGAAATATTGTATATATAATCTAATACATCCATATACCACACAAGATATTGTATATATAATCTAATAGGTCCATATACCACACAAGATATTGTATATATAATCTAATAGGTCCCAATACCACATGAAATATTGTATATATAATCTAATACATCCATATACCACACAAGATATTGTATATATAATCTAATAGGTCCATATACCACACAAGATATTGTATATGTAATCTAGTAGGTCCATATACCACACAAGATATTGTATATATAATCTAGTAGGTCCATATACCACACAAGATATTGTATATATAATCTAGTAGGTCCATATACCACACAATATATTGTATATGTAATCTAAAAGGTCCATATACCACACAAATGTTGTGTTAAACTGTATATAATCTTATACGTCCATATACCACACAAATATTGTATATATAATCTAATAGGTCCATATACTACACAAGATATTGTATATATAATCTAATAGGTCCATATACCACACAAGATATTGTATATATATATATTCTAATAGGTCCCAATACCACATGAAATATTGTATATATAATCTAATACATCCATATACCACACAAGATATTGTATATATATATATATTCTAATAGGTCCACATACCACACGAAATATTGTATATATAATCTAATAGGTCCATATGCCACACAAAATAGTGTATATATAATCTAATAGGTCCACATGCCACACAAAATATTGTATATATAATCTAATAGGTCCATATGCCACACAAAATAGTGTATATATAATCTAATAGGTCCATATGCCACACAAAATATTGTATATATAATTTAATAGGTCCATATGCCACACAAAATAGTGTATATATAATCTAATAGGTCCATATGCCACACAAAATAGTGTATATATAATCTAATAGGTCCATATGCCACACAAAATATTGTATATATAATCTAATAGGTCCATATACCACACAAATATTGTATATATATATCTAATAGGTCCATATACCACACGAAATGATACACGTGGGTGATTAAATCCATATACCACACCAAATACGACACACATGATCAAACAAGTCCATACACCACTCAAAATATACGTATGAGCGAATACGAGCTAATATTGATTCAGCAACCAGCGTCAGAGGCGGTTCTTCGTGTTATGTTCATCTTCAGAGATGAAGATGCATTATACAATGGTAAATTGTTATCCAGACAAGCACAGTGCATACAACGTTTATCCGTAATAAAGTGAACCTGTGTCGAACCTTATTTTGCAATCTTTACACAGCTGAAAAAAAATGTTTTGAAAAACGAGGGTTATGGCAATATAGACTTTACAGTTCACATTTAATAAACACGTTGAGGCATATTTTGTTTGTGTTTCATAAAACATATTGATTGAATGATGAGTAGGTGGAACTGTTTAAATAGACATGGTTGGGGCAAAGAGTTACGTCAAAGATGAAACTGTATTTCGATACAATGGACTTGGAGACAAGAGGACCGAGCGTCTACCCTGCGTGGTTGCATGATTGAACATTGGGTATTATGTAGGTATTTTGAGAAATCAAAGACACATATGAGACTGTAGTGTAGTTTAAGTGTAACAGCGTCGCCTCTTCACAGCAAAAGTCCGGGTTCGATTCTCCCAATGCACCTCATGTATGAAGTACATTCTTGTACTCCGTTCGCTTTATTGCTTGAATATTTCCATTAGGACATAACAGTATTATCTCACCTTCTGAATGTCATGTTCGTATGGTGAGTGGCTTCTGGTTCATGGAGTGGCTAGGGGAGTGTAGAGGGTTGTGAAGTGGATGTGAACTAGTTGTTGGGCATCGTGGCGCCTGTAGAGTGATTCACTGCCAGGAACACTCCTCTAAGGTCACCTATTTTCGTGGTACATGTAATAGCTTTAAATGTTTTATTTTAACCTATTGTATTTGATGTGGCATATTTTGAAATTGCTTGTCAAAGATCATTTGAATATCGGCCAGCCGTGATCCAAACCATTCTGTAAAGGTGTCCGTCATCTGATGTGAATTGTAAACGGTCTTTGTGTAAGCCGGCAACCTTGTTGAACCCCTGTCGCAAAATATGGGGCCTACCACCCTAAGTACGTCAAAGACGGCGATATAGTTTGAAATATACCGAAAAATGTACTATGTCTCTGTGTAATGTTTAACTACTACTACTACTACTACTACTACTACTACTACTACTACTACTACTACTACCATCGCCATCTTTTCGTTTTCAATTGTTGGGTGAGGGAGGGGGCGTTCTAAAGTTATTCACTATTGTTTGTCCAAAATATGTAAGCGTTTAACTTTCTGTTAGATAGGATATATGACGACGACGACGATACGATGATGATGATGATGATGATGATGATGATGATGATGAATCTTCATGCGGTATTATACACTTAGACACGTGGTATCACTGACCATCCCGTATGACACATGGTGGTGTCACAATACCAGTGTTTCTTGTCACATGACTGTCCTGTTACGGTTAGTCCTGCCGGTGTATAACTGACTTTATTCTCCTGGTCATGTTTAATATTGGCAAGCACCATACACTAGATATTACCTTATCGTATCCCGCTACTCCACGGCAGCTCGTTTTACCGCTTGTCCATGTATACAGAGCATCTGTATTTACTCTCTGATATGAATATCCCTATACTTCAGATATGACTGCCGTATAACGAGGCGGGGAAATAGTTACACCAGAGTAACAGTCAAATATCTATGAGATTGTATGACAAGAGGGATGACAAGTCTTGTATGACAAGGGGCTGACAAGTCCTGCATGACCAGAGTTTTTTTTCCCTGTATGTCCGACAATATTCCAGCAGCTGGTGTATACACAACGTTTGAGGGACAGTCGAGCATACAGCTTCCATTAAGATTTCAAAGAGCGTCATGCGACTCGTGGTCAAACGTTGTTTGTTCAGGGTTGCACTATCCATGTAAGGCTTTCAAACGGTTGTCTGTAGACACGTGGAGTGTATTAACAAATCAGACGCATCAATGACCAAATTGATTCCTTATCTGACTGGACTCTATGCTCCCGTGTTTAATCAGGTGAACAGTTTACTTGGCTCTGCATGTGTGTGTGATGGGTGCCGTCATTTGGGCAGCATACGTTCACCTCTTAGCGAACACCTGGTATCATGACTAATTGATACTGATTCATAAATACATGGACAAACAATGTATATTTTTGCGAAAGTCTTCATACGACCCACCTCACTCCTTATCTTGTTTGACGGGCATGTTACAGGAAGATTAAGACTTTATAAAAAAATAAATCTTTAACCTCAAGGACACAACATATTCAAATCGGAGCCCTTACTTCAAACTGAATA